AAAAAATAAATAAATTCAATTAAATATAAATACGCACCAAAATAATTATGTGATTTTTTCAATTTTTATTTATTTTTTGGTTCGAAAGTAGCCGGGCGGTTAGAGGTCTGCACTACCAATCGGTAGGACCCAGGTTAAATTCCTTGTCCGGCCGATAGCCTTTCACAACGACCATAGCGGTTATAAATTATGTATAGCCGGTATTTTTTAGCATTATTTTTTGTTCGGAAAATAGCCGTTATTTCTTGCTTGAAAAATAGTCGTCATAGTTCTTATTTTTTTGCTCAGAAAATAGGAGTTACTAAATGCACTAACGAAATCGTGTAATTTTAAATTTTGACAGGATGATCAGTTAAAAAATTTTTGGTGCAACCGGGCATAAATCTGGCGAGAGCGGCGAAACATTGACAGATAGTATGTTTCGGCGTTTATTCGCTCGACTTTCAGAAGTGGCAGACGCTCATGTCTGAAAGATTAATCTCACTGAGGTGATAGCGAGGGAAGCAGTGTTCTGTAAAATAACCAATGAGAATTCGGAGGTCTTCCTTGCCTAAGTTAGGGATTTTTTTTGTAGCCTCTTTAGATGGTTAGTTAAACCGCATAGCTTGCCTGGGACGAACAAATTCAATCCAGTGGTTGTTTAATTGTTCTTTGTCTGTTTTGTTTTTGTTTTCGCTCGGAAAACTGAGGTTCTTCTCAGGAGACTTTTAATAGTAATACCCAATATAACCATTTTTTAATATTAACGATTTTTTATTGGTGTCCCATTGCATTTTTCGGGGTTTTTGGGGGTGTTTTGCGGACCTATAAATTATAGTTACTATCAAGGCGTATCAGTACAAGGTGGTGTTGATTGAACAGCTGGTAGGATATTTTTGTCTCTACACTAGTACAGGAGAATGTCATCCAAGACGAAATGGCGCAACTGCAGGATGTCAACAAAACCAAGTGACGAAAATTATTTCCTATTTCCTTTCGTTTTGGGATCCAGATGTACCAAAAAGCAATAACAAAATACACGGGACTTTTACTTATATGCAATTGCCACCACCTTGTATGGATGCGCTTTGGTTACTATGAAAAAGTGGTTAATGGTAATTTGTGGTTTTATTGAACAAGTTTTAAGACAGTTTTTTTTTCTAAATTTTATTATCGCAGGAAAAAATTCCGCCTAGTCTTAAAAACTATTCACACAGTGGTTATTTATGTAAAAAGAATATGCCAAATGATATTAACTTCAATTGAAAACTTGAAATTCCTAATATGTCTAAACAGCCCTTTGTTTTGTTATCTTTATTGAGTGCTCCCATCCAATTGGTAAATAATTTACTTCCTGCAGAATCAAGATCATTTAAAAACAAGCCATTTTCTCCGAAAACGCAAAAAATCGCAACAAGAAATTGACATATTAAACCCAGAACTCTTCGTTTTACAGTGTTGGCAAATGAAATTTTTCCTTCTGTACGAAATATGTATACATATACAAAAACTGTACTTTTTGACTGTAAATTGTATCGACTTTTTAATTTGCTCATATGTTTTCTTAAGAAACATGCACACATACATTCCCTTCAAAACCTATCTCAGCACGGAAAAAAACTAGTTTAAATATTGATGTTCAACCAGTTTTTTAACCACCACAACTAATTGAAGATCTGATTTTCTTCCTTGGAACGAACTGTTTACTTTGACATAGCGATGTCCTAGGAAGCAGTCAATTATCCTGCATTTGATTTCGACTACTTTAAAATGCATTTAGCTTAAATCACTTCAAAGTCAGTACTTTTCGTTCTCCACTTCACAGATGCTTTTTTATATTTCCAAGACACAAAAAAAAATTATTAAAATTTTTTCAAGGAATCGGTTTATATAATATAGTTTTGTTAAAAAAACAAAAAATATCGAACGAATAATTAATTTATCAAAAACTATCAGGCCTATCGAATAGAAATGTTGATTAGCTTTCATTTGCGGTATTTCGTATTACGATTGTTTAACTAGTTCGTAAAATATGCGTGATTAAGTGGAATCACTCTTTTTTTTTCCAGCAAAATAACGGTAAATTGCAAATATCTCGGAAAGTTATTTATAGAGAAAAAAATTTACTTGATTATCGGAATCACCGAGCGATTCTACATAGGACTTTGATAGTGGCATCTGGTGAAAAAAATAAATAAAAATTTGTTATCCACTGTTATCGAAAATATTGCTTCTATTGAAGTTGATTTCGACATTTTGTTTTAAGATTTAGTAGAGAAAATATTCTTTAAAAAAATTTCTTAGGAATGGGAAGCTGATAGTAGCCCTTATGGTATGTGGTATGTGGTATTTCATTCGAGACATTTTTAAAACTTGGAAATGCAAATTCGAAAAGGTCAAAACAAAAACAGAATAAAAAAATTCCCCTTTGAATTTTTAGAGTTATTTGCTTTTAGTATTCATCACAAAATTGTACTAAGAAGTTTTGCGTAGTAGTAAAGTACTATATTGTGAACGAAATTGTATCAAAAAAATACAATTGTACCAAAAATGCAACACTGTTTAGTAAGTTTTGAAATTTTTACACATGTACATATATCTACAGCTGTGTGGTAGATTGACCTATCTCATCAGCGGGTTCGAAAATACCCTATTGAAAAAATATTTCAAGAACATTCTACTTCACAATTTGGTTGAAGATCGCCCTATTTCAGAATTTGACTGAAAACCGCCCTATCTCAGAATTTGGTTACGGAACGAGATACGAATCTGTTATTCTTGATTCCAGTCTATGAACTTAAAATAAATTTGTTTCTCTGTTCGCTTTATTACTTCTTTGAAACTGTGTGTTACAAATTCGTAAAGAACAAAATTTTTTTTGTAATTTTCCTTTAATTCTTCAAAAACTTAGCGTTACAAATTTAGATAAGGTACCCTAAACTATTTTTAATTGTGGCACAGAAATGTTAATTTTTTTTAACTTCTATACAATACTAACTTATGTACTAACTACCCTGAGCAATTATGAAGATTTTCTTAGTTTAAAAGCTTTTCAAAATACCTATGCAAACCTACACTTTAAATACTAGCTTGCCACACACAGTACTTATTACTAAACCCACTTGTGGTCTAACATCATTTCAGCACTCGCACCTCCACAAACAAGCAATCGTTACGCAAATAATTCCGACTCATTACGACTTTGTGTGGTATGTGGAAATATTGATTGTTTTGTATGAACTCATCGTTCTTTTTGCGCACCAATATCGTTTTCACATAGTCCTGTGCCTCCTCGTTGCTGCTGTACTGATCACGTATGATAATGTCGGCTTGCAGGCGGCAAGGCCAAGGTAGCAGCGCATCATACTCGCCAGCTATGACATTGAGACATGCAATCAAATTGCGGCCCTTCCAAGTGCCCTTTCCATTGGGGAGTATATCAAGCTGTATGTGAAAGATAAAAGCGATTGATTAGTAGACCTACACACACACACACACACACACGCGTGCGGAGGGGGTGTTACATTGGAGGGCGTCAACTTACGCGCAATGCATAGCCATATGGCTTATTCGAGAACATGGCGCTATGCAGTATTGTTTCATATTGCTTCGCTTCCTCCAGCTTCTTTGAGTAGTCTTTGATGCGCCAGACCAAGTGACCTATGCGACGGGGAGTGAATTGGAATTGGAATTTTTGTGGGTTTTAGAGCAGGTTAACTTCTATTACCTCTCGAGTTTTGTATGTTAGTGAGTCGTTGTTGTGTCGCTAAATGATTTTCCAAATCCGCTAGCGTTTGCATGGTTTGATGCAGCTTGGTGTCCATTTGTTTCACTATGCCCTCCAATTTTTTCGCAACGCTCCTCCGTTTCGCAAACAATGTTTTTCATGCTCTTCACTTCCACATCCATATTCACCTGTTTGGCATTCAAGTCGCTGTTGGCGACAAATTTGGTCTTCAAATCGCCGTCGAGCACATTTAAAAATTCTTCGATTTCGATGAATTTATCGCTGTAATGAGTAAGTTGGATTAGTGAAATTTTGCTTTGTTTGTTAAGACTTGCGAATTTCATTACAGATTCTTTTTCTCATTTTCCAAAATCATCTCTTCCAACTTCATGGTATTGTCATTCAAATGATTTACATGGTCTGCCACTTCTATAGATAATTGTTGGATATTCTTTTGCAGCACATCCATTTCACCTTGTATATCGGCTTTGACTTTCTAAAGAGGCATTAATTTGAAAAACTTATTTAAACCCTGCAACTATTTATCACTGTCTCCGCTTACCTTTATCATTTCGAAGTTCGCTATGTTGTCCTTGTATGCCTCGCCCACTTCAAATTGTCGTTGCACAATCTCTTCATTGAGCAGCGATTTGATGCCATTCATATTTTCATTGGCGTCCTGTTTCCAATCTTCTAAAACCTGATTGTATTTGCGCAAATTTCCCACATCTGTAATCAAATGCAATCGCTGGCCAATCTCCTCGTTTAGCACCGAACGCAAAGCGCTCAAATCCTTTTCGAGTTGCGTCATCCGATTATCGACGAATTGATCGAGCCGTTCTTGACTATTGTTTAACTGTTGTTGTGACTTGCCGCGCGGACACTCTTTCAGATGTGTGCGCATACGTATGCGTGGCACGAAAGCGTTACAATGGTTCGGACACTGTTCGAGTACTTGGCCGCAATGGATGAGATGCTCCTGGGGGAGAAAAAGAGAAACGTACGTAAGTGGTAGTGAGTGTATGAAAATAGGTAATTTTTTTTATACAATTAGTCAGTGACTACAAAAAGCGCAATTTTATTCAAATGGCACTTTAACTTGCAGTGTCCTGTCAGGTAGCCTGTATGAGTTCTTAAACCCTCCCCGCTAAGTCAGGTAGGATCATTCATAACTGCTTTAATTGTCTCAGTCCCTTTTTGACTTCCGCCAGTGGGCAGAAATCTGAGATTCTTTCCAGCTCCTGAGTAGGTATTTAGTGTGTCCTTTATATGTACCGAAGAAAGGCTGCGGACGATACACGCGAATTTGGGCTCCACATTTTGCAAGACTAACAGCCCTTTCGTTGCCTTAAAACTAGGACTGGGTAACTCAGTGAATTTTCGCGAGTTGACTCAATGAATCAGGCTCATTTTCATGAGTCAGCTCAGTGAGCTGGCACTATTTGACACTAAGAGAGTGGTTCCCTGTGCTGGCGAGGCGAAGGGAATAAACCTGAAGTTTTAACTTTAATATGTTTTAAATAAAACAAATTTTTTTTCTTAACATATTTTATATACAGCTAACTATAACAACAAAATTCAAAACAGGGTTGCAAACAAGAACAGAAAACGAGTTTCTGCAAGGAAAAAAGGTGTATTTCCTTTAAAAGTTTTAAGTGATGCTTTTTTCGTATTTAAACGAGTGTGTTTTTTAATAGCATCATGGTTCTGTTAACATTTCCTAAAATTAGGAAATTAAAAAGGGTAAAAAATCAAAATTTTCAAAAAGTTCGGTCAAATGGTATTGGCGCTTTAAAATAGTCAAATTGTCCCTTTAAGCTGAAATTAGTCAAGAACGCAGAACGTATACTTAAACGCAGTCTGTATACGCAGAATTTTGTCGATTACTTGAGCCCTCAGTGTTGCTTACTACAGTGTTGCCACCTTTTCAACTACAATTTTTTGTGCTATAATAGATCCTAGCTAAATATAAACTACTTAGTTTTCAACAAAAAACTTTATTCAATAGTAAATTTCAAATATTTTAAACGTATTTTGAATAGGAAATTATACCCTTTTTACCATTTGCGAAACTGACGAAGTGGCAACCATCTATAGAAGGAAGAAATCAGCTGATACGGAAAAATCTAAATTCCGCAGATTTCTGCGCTACGGGCTACAACTACAGAAAAATTCTGCGGTGTTGAGTTTTCATTTACATGGCGCTCTGGTAAGACAGATCGTGTCAGCTGACTCGGGTTTACGTACCGGTAGGTTTACGTTCTTGACTAATTTCAGCTTTAGTCGCACAACAGCAACACTAGTCGAGGCAACACAGCCCTTAAAACTCTGTATAGGAGAAGTGGTTCAAAATAGTATTACAACTGTCAACAAGCCTTGGTGTGCTTTCTCAATGAGTGTAAGGCCCTTAGTGCTGCCTGACATAATGTGGCGTATTCTTGGTTTCGTATGAATCGAAAATATTGAAATTTTCCTACCACTTTTTATATAAAAATTTCAAATTTTCGAATTATACGAAAACAAAAATACGCTCCAATAATTATTCTGGCCCCCATTTGTGTTTCTAAATACGAAACATTTTTGAACACATAATTCGCTTGCGAGGACTACAGCTTATAATGTGGTTCAAAATGTGTCAATTGGCAGACTTTTCTGAAATCCTGATCCAAGTACGAAACGAAATGCTCAGATTGAAAGGGACATAGCTTCACTTGGTGTTTTTAATTGGCGTCAGTTACGAGGAAAAGAAACAACTGCCATGCTATAGCCCAAGAAGCATCACACTTTTACAAGTTCCTGCAAGGAAATTGAAATGACAATTTTCAAAATTTGTTTGCTACTAGTTTTATTATTAACCTTCAAAAATAAAAATAATACCCGTAAAAAATGTTTTTTTTTTGTTTTTTTTTTGTTTTTTTTTTGAGTAGAGACCATGAAAAATTATATGTGTGTCAAGAATGGGCATACACTACAGGCGCATACATATGGTTACCTTAATGTAGAAATGCCCTATCTAAAATGTTTGTCCTTACAGAGTACTTACAAAACTTGAGTCCTTAAGTTGGGAATTTCTTCAAAATCCGGCGCTTAATAAACACTGAAACAATTTATTGATGTAGTAATTTTCTTGCTTAGTTCTATTAGCGTTATTTGCCGAACCTTGTAGGTACTAAGCTGAATTTAGGAAGAAAATGAGTTAGGGCCTTTCTATATTAAGGTAACGATAAGCGCATATACTGCCAAAATAAAAGTAAACAAACCATACTCGGCATATCATTTAACTAAATTGGAAAAAGTGATAAGAATTTCAAAGCGCATTCCATGCTTATCACTTTTTATTGCTGTCAAATTTTTTATCTATGGAGGTTAAGTTTAGTGAAGCATTCACGAGCACTCCATCCACATATTAATAGCAATTTTTTAAATGCTTTTTGAGTTATGCGCGCAGCCGATGGACAAAATTATAACGAGAATCACAATGTACTGGGCACTTTGATGGATAAATAATATTTAGTAGGGGTATTCACACCGACCTTGTTACCTCAGTATTTAGCAACTTAATGTATAAATGACTCCGTTCTTGCTTTTCTTTTGCTAATTTATATCATTGTGGCGGTGTTTGAAATCACACCTCTTTTTGAATATTAATGCTCTTATGTTACATTTTCAAAATCTTGTAATTTATTAAAAAATCGGTATAGCATCTCAGAGTGCAGTTTGCAGTCGGCTAATGAAGTTGAGGATATTAGCGTCATATCTGAACTACACTTTCATTTAACAGCAACATTTAGGGACAAAACGTTACTAGAAAATACAAGTACATACTCGATACTTTTCGTCCGATACCAAGTAATTTTGGTATCGATACTTTTGAACCGAGTACTGAGTAGGTATCGGAAGAAAGTAACGGAACCTTCTGCAAAATTCTTGAAGGAAATGTTTTGAAAAGTTTTGTTCCTCGCTTGTAAATTTTCTACAAATGGACTTAGCAACTTTTTACTCTAAAAATTATCAACATAATTACTTCTCTTAGAAATATACCATTGTTACTCTGCAAAAATGCTGTTGAACAGTGTTATATTAAAGATGACTTTTATTAATTAATTAATTTGTATGTAATAAATTATAAAATAATTGTTTTTGATCTCAATTGCTTTCTCTTTGTACAAAATAAATATTTATTTATAACAAATGAAATACGTACATAAAAAAGAAGCAATTTCTTTTTAAAAAACGACTCATTGGACTTTGCACTTCTTTCTGGTTTTTTTGGGACGCCATCCTAGTAAAACATGATTTAAAACTTAAATTTTTCTTAAAAAGATAAATTAACATTCCATTTTAATGTATCGAGCTGCTTTTCTATCTATAGATACTGAAAATGGCCAGGCAGTTGGTGAATTTAACCAGATATCAACTATTATTTTTGAACCTTCATACATATAACAGCTGTAAGTGGGGAATTCTCGTTTGTGAAATTGAGAACACACGAATTCACTTTTACAATAAATTTTTGAAACCACACAGTTAAATTGAAACTGGAAACTGGGTCCACGGCTGATAAGGTTTGTTCTGTAACATATACTAAGGGTTTTCCGACAACAAAAAAAAGTAGTACAAAATAGACAAATTAACACCGTGAATAATCTACTTATTTCCTTCAGTAAGAGTTTTTATTTCCCTTTATAAAGCTCTTTTTGTGAGTAAGTAGTTCTCTAAAAAAAAAATCAATTGTTCTTTCATCTTCTGATTTCTCCCAGAAGATTAAAATTTGTTGCTATGAAACACTGTTTGCCAGTCTAACAAAAATAGTTAAAAGGGTCGTTCACAGCAAAACACTTTTCTCGAACTGCCAAATTACCGAGGTTTGGCTGAATACCCCTATTGTGTTTAACTATTTCTCCGACATTTTTCAAATGATAAATAGTTTCTGAGTATAGGTACTTATATAAGTACTTTGTTGGTAACAATTTTGAAATGGGTAAAGCTCCAAGGAATACAAATATCACAGATATCGATGTGAATGTTTAACACAATTATGCACAATTAAATTAGTTTTCGAATTTTCTTCCAATTAATGAACTACATATGTATGTATGTACATATGTATAGGTACTATAGTTACGCTGCTATCCGTTTGTTATTTTAACAAATGAACATAAATATTTAAATATACAACACCTGCATTTTTTACAATTTTATTACTTGCAATGTTTTCTAAACTTGAAATTTGCGTAGAGAAGTTCCAACTTACTTATAACCGTTCCATTTCTCAGTATGTACTAAAATGTGTAATACTTACTAATTAAAAAAAACAAACCACCGTTGGACACTCAATTATGACTAAAAAGCTACAGAAATGAGCCGCATATAGTCGCTGTGATAAATATCGGTAATGACTAAGAACGACCTGTTGAGGTGATTGCTAATTGATAAGCAGAAAATCCATTGATAATCGAAATCTAACTTGTGTAGATAATTAAGTAGTTATGAATGAGCTATATGTAGTAATTACATATGTTAAAAAAATAACATAAATTTAGTGTAAATAAATACATTAAATTATAAGTATGAAAGTGAATAAAAATTTGTTAGTCTGTTAAAGCATAAAACTATTGGCTATATTAGCTAGATTTTTGTCTGCTAGGATTTTTCTTTAATAAAACTAAAATGACTCAAGCATATAGCTGCATAAAGAAATGTTTTCGTTAGTTTATAACCGACTTCAAAAAAAGGAGGAGGTTAACAATTCGTCGGAACATTTTTTTTTATGTATGTTACCGCATAACTTTGGACTACATTAAGCGATTTCTATAATTCTCTGATAATTTTTTTAAGAAAATTCTGTACTTCAGAGGTGGTACCAATTTGGTTTAGATCCGAACCTTGGCTCATGAGGAAATTAACGATATTCCTAAATTTTTATACGTTTTGTTGTTTACTTAAAAATTACTTCTTTATAAATATGCACACGGTTTATTCTATAATTTATGCAATTTAAATATAACGTTGTCTAAATTTTTTACAAGTATTTTGTCATTAAATTCTTGTACAATATTGTGCTGGTTTGAAGTTACTACAAAATCCCTTTGATTTTTGATAATTTTTTTTTTGCCGCCGCTGGCACGTATTTTCTTCCATACAAAGTATGTTCGCAAATGTTTGATGTGTAAACATCTTAGGTCCCGGTATGTGAAAAATTTGCTTAACTTAGAAAACAATCTGTAACTGCTTCTTGTGTGGACAAATGAACTAGTACGGGATTATTTCGGGAAAATTTCGAGAATAGTTCTGGATCGTTATGATACATTTTTTCTGGATGTTGTGCATTTTTATGTCAAAAAGTTATTTATGCATATATCTTAAGGTCTCTAAAGGAACAAAATTTTCGATTTCCTTGAGGAAAAAATTATTTATTCTTCAAAATGAATTTTTTTAATGCCTAACTTCGGTGCAAAATTCTTTGTCATTCAACGACCCGCGGAATTTCAGCAACGTGTTCATAAAAAACACGATTAAAAATATATTTTTTTCTCTTAAATAATATTCGAATAAAAAATTCTTAATTACTAATTAGTAGGTTTTTATTGCCATATAAGCAATTATTGCTTACGGTAAAAGTTTGTGAGTCGAACCATTCGTTGCAGAAAAGACACGAAGATTTTTCATACTTAAGAACAGTCGTCGTACCATTCGATGGCAAAGTATTATTTGAGTTACGCGAATAACCATTGCCATTCATAGCCATGGTCTAAATAAGTTTCTTGCAAGAGTTGAATAATGAAACTTTTTTAACTAATTGACCTGTGAGTATATTTAATTTGAAGCAATTAGTCTGTGGTCCACTACACAACACTCAAATTACACATCGTCCTCCAACTAATAAATACGGCACTTCGTTTCGCTTCACTTCACTGCTCTTAATGATGACAATTAATTAGCCACTTCCAACTGGTTTACGACAATTAACTCAACTCAATTGGTTGAAGGCGGGCAGGTATGACACCGAAGAACCGAGTGTAAGATGAAAGAAATAATTATTGCCGCAATACGTCACTATCTCTACCTATTACCATGGATATTTGTTCTTTTTTTTTTGTGTCTACTACATGCACGAAGGTAATCTCATTTGACACGTTCTACTACTATGCGTAGCCACAATAATCACACTCGCGACTCGGCGGAAGCTGAAACAATTTACCAACGAATCGTTTAGCGAAACAACTCTTCGACGACTAAATTTCTCAATAGCCTACCAGCAATCAACAGGCGAATGGGCAAATGAATTGATCAAAAAAGTACCATTTAATAAGCGTTACTCGTACATACATATGTATGTATATGAAAATTTCATACACTAAAAAAAGAAGAGATAATAATAGCACAACTACAATAATGAAAAAAATTAAATTGTTATAAAAACAACAACCACGCTTACCTTCTATGTGTATGCGCAGCATTAATATCTGGCAAAAACGTTTAAACTTTATACTCACATTCACTTGCGCCTTCGTTATCAGCTGACACAACAACAACACCTAAAGTAAAGATAAAGATAATGAAAGTGTGAGTCGATGATAACTGTGTATTGCAGAAATATTCGCGTCCATGTGTACTTAGGTGAATATGTATTTTGCGTGCGTATTTAGCAACATTTTTGTATATAAAATGTATTTAATTATGTACTTGCATACATACATACATAAAGGCAACATAAATACAATTCACCTGTCGGCTCGTTTTGTTGTTGGGTTGTATGGCCAAAAGCACAAGCGGGCATGGCTCCTACTACTGGACTTTTTATGCGCTGCGTGGTAGAAATTTATTTTATAGACACTGCATATGCCACTATAAAGATTATCGTAGAGCAAACAAAGAGAAATTGCGAATTGATAACAACTTTTGATATAAATGTGTGGATAACAGCGGTTAGAGTGGGGTGTGGAACTGATGAGACAAAGGCTTCCACTATGTCGCTATCAAAAATAAGAACGTTGCTCGTATTTCCACTCGACGCTTAGACAACTGTCTATTACACTGTGACGGGTTGTATTCGAATTTTATGCACATAGTATGTATGCACATTAGGGTGGTACAAAAAAAAAGTTAAGTCGGAATTTTAATTCTCTACCCCCTACGATTGTTCTATATTGAAAAAATATACCCATTTTTTTATTTTGAAATCAAAAATTATTTAGAGGTCGCTCAAGGCAAGCAAAGCTAATACTTTTTGACTTCACAAAAAAATGGGGTATAAGTTTTTTCGGTACAGAACAATCCTAGAGGGTGAGAGCATTTAAATTCCGGCTTTACTTTTGCACATGCTTTTTTGGACCACCCTGGTATGCATAACAAAGACCGCTTTTTAGAAATGAATTAGGTATGTATTTTTAAGAAAATAAAGACAATGTCTGCTCTCGAGCCCTTACTCTGCGAATAGAGTCAAGCTAGTTAGTTTGAAAAGAAAGATCTTTTGTATTCTTATTGAGTCCATAACCCTCAATGTCAAAAGACTTTGGTAACCTAATTACTTTATCACAAGAGGTTCGACTATAGATACTTTTAAATGAAATAGTCTTTGTCTTGTATATGTAAAGAATGTGTTCTAAGGTGTCTACCGCAAAGTCGGCATTTTGACACTACTTCGTTGCATATGAAAATGAAATCGGTTATGTCGGACAGTAACTGGATATCTGCTCAATTTAATAGGAAGTCATCTTTCGAAAGTCTACAAACTCTAAAGCATCATCTGGGTCATCGAAAATGCTTTTTATTTTAGGCAAGGCTCAAGGAGTTTGAGCAGTATCCAGAGTCTGAGTATATATATATATTTGGACAATATATTTGCGAGCAACCGCCCTCTCCATAGTCTCTTATACAGATATTCGCACTCAATTAAACCTCACCACAATTGGCACCCTCTGCTAATGAAGTGGAGTGGCATTAAAACAATTTGTACAAAAGTCCATTAATCACATGGATTGAAGCGTTTCAAGTGCATGCCAATTCAAATTGCCAAAACACGTGATCCCCTAACATCGTTCATCGGACCAAGCATGTTGTATACGAATCAAATGCTTAAAGTATGTATGGCTTTTCCACGTTAAATTACACAGTGAATATATGTAAGCATGTATATTGTACGTAGTCATTACCTGAAACCAAGAAAAGGCGCCAATCATGTAGCAACAGGAAAAGGCGCCAATCATGTAGGGACAAAGCAACGAGAATCACTCCTTCGCCCCCATTAATGTCAAGAAAAGTCCACTTTTATTTTGTAATATGAGGGATTCGCTATGAGTGTATGCATTCAAATGTATGTATGTATTTACCTATGTATATACAGGTACATAGATACTTTTGCACCCATATGTGGCGCGTAAATTGTCTATGCATGTGAATGTATCTACCATTTTATCGTGCGGCGTTTGAAATCGCTATCCTTCCGCTATACAACAAAACAGTCAAGCAAAATGCTTTGTGCTGTTCATTTTATTTTCGCGCCAAAAATGTTAATACAACGGTATTGTGTATGCCTGTATGCCTGTGAAAGGATGCGTGTGTGGCCTTTGAACGCTCCTTTTAGTACAAAAGTGTGTACTTGAAGTCGTACTACGTTATAATTGTACTAAAAAGCTTAATAAAGCTTTTAATACGTAATGGAAGTTATTTAGAATAAGATTAAGTTACATTAGCTTTCGCATAGTAATATAATGTGAGCACAGTTGCCACTGTTGGTTGTACCATTGCCATTACCAATACTAATTCCACAACTACTAGCATTACTACTACCATTACCAATACTAAAATTGTGATTACTACAACAATCAGCATTACTATAACCAGTCCCATTACAACTAAAATAACATATCATTACTATTACTACATATTACCATTATCATAACCATAACCATTACCATCACAATAATAACTTCTATCGCCACTACCGTTACCATAGCCACTACCACTTCTATTACCATTATCATTAGCATTACTGTTACCATTACCGTTACCATTACCATCACCTATACAATAACCATTACCATTATCGTAAGCAATACTGTCAATAATACTATTAATATTACCATTACCATTACTATTATCATTACCATTAATTCTTAATTATAATTCCATTTATTTCCTCAGAGCATTCGATATTTGTTGTCATTGGCAACCCAAAAAAAAGCTTTCACAAGCTCAATTCCTTCGCATGCTTTCCACTGCATATAAAAACAAAACAAAACAAAACTTTGTTGTAAGCTCAAGCGAGCGCATGGTATTTCAAGCAGTAAACAAAAATAAAATATAAATAAATAAACATTTTACAAACGCAATGTGAGTGTGTAACGCCAACAGCAGCGGTAGCAGCAACAGCAACAAATGCAACAACAAACGCCGAAAGTCACAGTTACAACCGCATCAATGGCATGACGGTGCGGCGTGTAAAAACCAACAACATACTCGTATAAAACGCAAGGATCTCAATGCACTCGACTCAGTTTGGAGTTGGCCAGAAATCCAGTCGGTTGTTTGCTCGTAAAACGGCGACGTTCAGTGATGCCAAAGCAATAGCGGCAAAGGACTTTGTTTCCCCATATAAATATACTAAATGCCAAGCATACATATTCCTTTGTGTGTGCGTTTGTAAATTATTTCAGATACACGAAATGTGAAAATTCATTCATTTTTTTTAGTTAGTCCACTGGTCGGTTTGTGTATTAACGCTTAGTATGTGTTATTTTAAAACATTGCATGTATACGTAGCTGTGTTTTACGAGTGTAAGTGTGCCAGTATGCTGCTTAAATTATTAAAATTGTCCAAAAAATGATGTTCATCATGAGACTGCTGCTATGCATGGCAAACGCTGCGGATGAAAGCGAAAGTGGTGGCGTGCTTCTTTTTGTGGCGGGTAGAGGTCAGTGCCAGTGCCAGTGCCAGCGCCAGTGCCAGCGCGAGTGCCCAGCACCAGCTGCCAGTGGCAGAGTCAAAGCCATCACGAACGTCTGCGGATTTGCGTAAATTTGTTGCACGTTTTGTTGTTTTCCTAACTGTGCTTTAGCGCCTAAGCTTATGCTTAGATGACATATGTATGTAGGTAGTTTACACTCGTTTATATGTGTTTTTGTGCTCATGGCGCAGTGTTGTTGGTATGCATAATTTATACGCGCAAGCAACCCAATGTAACCTTTGAATGTTTACAGCTAAAATAAGCAAAGTTGTTTTTATTGTATTGGGGACGATTTTGGCTGGGTCGTTAAATTTATATGCATGCAAGCCGGAAAATTGTGAAATGTGAAGTTTTGTGCTTACTGAGGTGAATTTGTTAAATTATGAGATTGCGAGTGCACATGAATAATTTTCATTTCCCATATGTATGTATGTATGTTTGTACAGTGGTCGAAAAATCTATGGCCGCACCACATATGGACAAGTTTTCATATATTATTATTTTTTGCTATTTAAATTTGATTATTTTTTACAAAAATATAGTTTAATCTGTAAAAAAAAAATTCAACAAACTTTCGTAAAAATTTTGAACTTTTTAATTAGATTTCTTAGAAAGATTTTGAGCAAGCAGTTTTGTAGTCCACTGAGTTCTAGTAGAATAAAGTGCAAGTTTTAAGAAGTTAAAAGTTGCCGTTAATTTTTTAGATTTTTGTCCCATTTGCATTTATATATAAGCAAAAAA